TGAGGAGGGCACCTTTTGGGATGAGCACTGGGTATTGTATGGAAACCAATTTGACAATAAATTTCCTATATTGAAAAAAATAAAAATAAAAAAATAAATGTTTACTTATTAATTTTGAGAGAGAGAGAGAGATAATCCCAAGCAGGCTTTGTGCCATTAATGCAGAGCCCAACACAGGACTCAATCTCACAAACCCTGAGGTCATGACCTGAGCCAAAATCAAGAGTCAGATGGTTAACTGACTGAGCCACCCAGGTGCCCCGAACTAGACTTTAGAGCTGATGATTGAGATTAAGTCATATAATTATTAGGCAAACTAGAGTAATAGTCTAAATATCTCCATAACATTAACCCAGGTCCTTCTTGATTTTTTAATCCTTACTAAAGCCTGGTTGTTTGACTTTTACTCCAATTACATGACAAACTCTTGCATATACCCTATTAACCCCTTTGAACTGGTTTGTGTGTTGCCTGAAATTAATCCCCGAATTAGAGTGTTCTGAAGCTCTTCTAGAAGAATGAATAGTCAAAAATCACCAGAAAAATTATGGAGGAGGAGGTAAATAAATATTGAGAAATACACGCAAGGACACATCAAAGGATGTAGGATATATCCAGGATATATCAAGAAATATCACATATACATGTAACATATTAGGACTTTAAGTACACAATAAACAAATCCTTTGACAGCAGTGAGAAAAGAGTGATTATTCAATAAAAGTTTTGGGGAACACTGGTTAGACATATGAGGGGTAAAATATGGATTATTTTCCTACTTCCACACCAAAATTCCAGATAGAGCAAAAATTCCAACATAAATAAATAAAACTATAGAAAGGAAGTGTGAGTTAATATTCTTATGATCTTGGGGTGCCTGGGTGGCTTAGTCAGTTAAGCATCATACTTCAGCTCAGGTCATGATCTCATGGCTCATGGGTTCGAGCCCCATGTTGGGCTCTGTGCTGACACCTCGGAGCCTGGAGCTTGTTTCAGATTCCGTGTCTCCCTCTTTCTCTCGGCCTCTCCCCCACTCGCACTCTGTCAATCTCTCTCTCAAAAATAAATAAATGTTAAAAAAATTTAAAGAATATATTCTTATGGTCTTAAGATAAAGGTTTCTCCAAACACAGTCTAAAAGCCAAAAATTATGATGAAAAAGATTGATAAATTTAACTTTGTGCATTTGTTGAGAGGGAAAGAATTTTTAACAATTTATTTTGAAATAATTTCAAACCCAAAGAGAAGCTACAGGAACTCACTTGCACCCTTCACTTATATTCACCAATTATTAACTTCGTGGGTTTTTTCCTAGGCACAATTTAATATATAACACATCAACTGTCTAGCCCCCACACCAATATCCGTCATGTAATCCAGTTCCTTGTATTCTTCCAGGGGCAAGGGACGCTCACATTCAGATCACAGCACTAGTGACAGGAGGACCATCATATGTTTAGCTTTTGGCTTTCTACTTCACCAATTAAAATAAAATTTTTAAAATCTTGAGCACCTCCAAAATGGGAAACATTGATGGATATCAGAGACAGGTGGAAGAGAGGGAGGAAGAAAGAGAAGAGGAGGGAATGAGAAGAGAGATCACCCACTTTTTTCAGTGACATAAACTAAGAGGGAAATAGATGGAAGATATTCTTAAGTGTTGCGATGGTGAGAAATGACCTCATAGTACATACTGGAGTTTAGTCTTGAGTGAGATGTTAAAGAAAGAATAGGATGGAGATGAGCAGGGGAAGACATATTCGTTCTATCACTGATTCAACTAATATTTATCAAGCACCTACCGGGGCACCTGGGTGGCTCAGTCACTTGAGCAGTTGAATGTCTGACTTCAGCTCAGGTCATGATCTCACAGTTGGTGAGCTGGCTCGCTGCTGTTAGTGCAGAGCCCGCCTCGGATCCTCTGTCCCCCTCTCTCTGCCCCTCCCCTGCTTGCACTCTTCTAAAAAGAAAAAAAAAAAAAAAAAAAAAAAAAAGCACCTACCAAGATGGGGTAAAACAGACAAAAAGACAAATTCCCTCAGGGGGCCTGAATTCTAAGGGAGGGAAAAGTAGCATCAATGGGGGCCAGGGGAGGACCGATGTGACATATAAGAAACAATAAGTAAACAGGATATTTTCATAAGAAAGTGAAACAGAGTGATATGATAAGCTGCAGGCTTATCATATCAGAAGGAAAGAGTTCCTTCTGATTGGAAGGGCGTCTCAGAAAAGAGCCAGCCATGCAAAGACCAGGAGCAGAGCATGGAGGGCAGAGGAGAACAGGAAGGGCAAGAGCACAGGGCCGGCTTGAGAAACAATTCCAGGGTGGCTAAAGCACAGCAGCACAAGGAAGGGGCTAGGGGAGGTGGTCAGAGCAATGGGAAGCCTTTTGAAAGCGATATGATACGCTTGACATCTTTAAAAGTTTTCCTCCCTACAGCCACTGTGACAAACAGTATGGAGGTTCCTCAAAAAATTAAAAATGGAAATACCATCTGATCTAGCAATTCCACTACGGGTTATTTACCCAAAGAAAATAGAAACACTGATCTGAAAAGTTATAGGGGCACCTGTGTGGCTCAGTCAGTTGAGCATCTGACTTTGGCTCAAGTCATGACCTCGCAGTTTGTGAGTTCAAGCCTCACATTGGACTCTCTGCATCAGTGCAGAGCCTGCTTTGGATCCTCTGTCCCCCTCTGTCTTTGCACCCTCCTGATCGCTCTGTCTCTCCCTCCAAAATAAGCATTAAAAAAAATAAAAGATACATGCAACCCTATGTTTACTGAAGCATTATTTACAATATCCAAGATATGGAAGCAACCTAAGTATCCATCACTGGACTAATAGATAAAGAAGATGTGGTATATATCTACAATGGAATATTACACAACCACAAAAAGGATGTGATAGTGCTATTGGTGACAACATGGATGGACCTAGAGGGTACCATGCTAAGTGAAATAAGTCAGACTGAGAAAGACAAATACCATATGATTTCACCCATGTGT